AAGAAAGACAGTTAGCTAGGCATCAACGCCCATCGCCAACTCTTTGTAGGACTGAATAGTGGGATTTTCCGTTACTTGATAACGCATCTATATCTTCAAAATGCGAATTACGTTTTCTTTTCTTTTGTTTTTGCGGTAGTGGAATAATCGACCCTCAGACACACACCCCAGCAAACTTAACACTGGACCACGCTCTGCCAGAACATTACTCCACCAATACCATCTTCTTGAACAGGAATTTAATTTCATATATCGTTAAAAACAGGGTTTGGTTTGTTTGAAGATAAGCACAAAGCTACACAACGGGCTATCTGTGTTCTGCCCACCACGGGTATCAAAACCCGGTTTCTAGCGTAGTAAGTCCGCAGACATACCGCTGTGCCACTGGGGGGGAGGGTAAAAACAGGGTATCGATACCCGTGATGGGCAGGCCATAACACAGATAGTCCATCGGTAACAACAAACAAACATTCCTGTATATTGTTATTTATTCAATTCCTGTATAATGTTATTTATTCAATTCCTGTATAGTGTTATTTATTCAATTCCTGTATAATGTTATTTATTCAATTCCTGTATAGTGTTATTTATTCAATCCATGTGTAGTGTTATTTATTCAATTCCTGTATAATGTTATTTATTCAATTCCTGTATAGTGTTATTTATTCAATTCCTGTATAATGTTATTTATTCAATTCCTGTATAATGTTATTTATTCAATTCCTGTATAGTGTTATTTATTCAATCCATGTGTAGTGTTATTTATTCAATTCCTGTATAATGTTATTTATTCAATTCCTGTATAGTGTTATTTATTCAATTCTTGTATAATATTATTATTTATTCAACTCTTGTATAATGTTATTTATTCAATTCCTGTATAATGTCATTTATTCAATTCTTGTATGTTATTTATTCAATTCCTGTATAGTGTTATTTATTCAATTCCTGTATAATGTTATTTATTCAATTATTGTATAATGTTATCTATTCAATTCCTGTATAATCTTATTTATTCAATTATTGTATAATGTTATTTATTCAGTTATTGTATAATGTTATTTATTCAATTCTTGTATAATGTTATTTATTCAATTCCTGTATAATGTTATTTATTCAATTCCTGTATAGTGTTATTTATTCAATTCTTGTATAATGTTTTTTATTTAATTCTTGTATAATGTTATTTATTCAATTCTTGTATAATATTATTATTTATTCAATTCTTGTATAATGTTATTTATTCAATTCCTGTCTAATGATATTTATTCAATTCCTGTATAATGTTATTTATTCAATTATTGTATAATGTTATTTATTCAATTCTTGTATAATGTTATTTATTCAATTCCTGTATAATGTTATTTATTCAATTATTGTATAATGTTATTTATTCAATTCCTGTCTAATGATATTTATTCAATTCTTGTATAATGTTATTTATTCAATTCCTGTATAATGTTATTTATTCAATTCCTGTATAATGTTATTTCAACTTAATCGATTCATTACTATTTTATCCATAATTTTATCACGTGAATTACGTAATAAAAATTATTATCTTTATCATACGATTATATATTGTTCCCGATATCCTTTCGAACATCTTCGGTTGGCACGAAATAGTAAATAATTCCCTGGCATCAGAGATAATTCCACCTTACATATGTATGTATCTACTTAGATACTTCAAAAGTCGTCCATTTAAAAATCCATTTAATTCCTCTCAAAAATATAAATTCACACATAAGTTTCAATCAAAATACATAATGACTGATGTTGTTTTCTAGGTCGTTGCAGTTTTTAGCGCAAACCTACACAATGGGCTATCTCCACTCTATCCAGAGCGAGGAATCGAACACTTGCTTTTAACATTGGAATTCTGGAAACTTACAGCTAACCCACCAGGCGACAATAGTTATTGGATAATATTGTTATTATGTGTAATAACTGTATTATATTCAGTTCTCTCACTAAATTACTTACAGATTCTGTCATTTTAAAACCTCTCTCCGATGGTTCAGAGGTAAGCAAAAATGATTATTACACTAAATTTGTGGTTCGATCCTTGTAGTGGACAGGTTTGTTCATTTGTAGTTAAGCACAAAGCTACACAATGAGCTATCTGTGTTGTGCCCATCATAGATATCGAAACCCGGTTTCTAGCATTATAAATCTACAAACTTACCGTTTTGGGGCCTGGCTACACGAGGGCTATCTGCATTAGCCGTCCCTAATTTAGTAGTCTAATACTAGAGGGAAGACAGCTAGTCATCATCACCCACCGCCAACCTTGGGGCTATTCTTTCACCAACGACTAGTAGGATTAACCGTCACATTATATCGCCCCCACGGCTGAAAGGGCGAGCATGTTTGGTGGGACGGGGATTCGAACCCGCGACCCTCAGATTCCTAGCCGGGCCTGAAACGTGTTTAGACTCGAAAATATTATTACTTAGGTTTTAAAAAAAATTTTTTTTTTATTTGTTTCCTTTTTTTTCGTAGATCTCCATTTAGGTTAACTAATAACTTTTATATAATTCAAAAATACAGCATTACGTAACTCAAGCTGAAATGTGATGCTATTTTTAATTCAAAAATGCAAAAAAAAAAAAAGAAATCTGGGATTATCTTGAATAAAGCTAGTGGCTTCCCAGTGGCACAGTGGTATGTCTGTGGAATTATTCTGCTATAAACCGAGTTTTGATAGTCGTGGTGGGCAGAGCACAGATAGCCCTTTGTGCTTAATAATAAACAACAACAAATAATGGTAGCCTGTTTAGTTGAACGTCGCAGGTAATATTCGGAACATAAAAGCCCCAACAGTCTAATTTTAGAAAGACGTCTCTAATATAGGGGTCACAAAATGCTCAGCAGTGATAGATTAGTCTTGAAATACGAACTCCAGAAGTTTTCGTGGTTACCAACAGTGTCGTAGATCTTGGAGGGAGAATCTTTCGATAATAAACGTCACTGGTTTAAATATATCACAGGTATAGGTTTCTCATACAACGTAGAAATGAAGGGCTATGAAAAACTTATTATACGTATAATGGCGGATGCTCAATGTCCTGTGGAGTTTATATTGGCATATTAAACTTGGAGAAAAGCACCTTTGGAATTTTCTCCATGAAGTTAAGATAACAGAAGAAGAGTAATAAAGTTATACCAGGCGCATTTAGCTCATGTTGTTTAAAGACTTTTCCATTATGAACTTCAAATACTTAAATAATAGACGAAGAAGAAGAACAAAATATTTGTACTTCAATATACCTTGCAATATAATAAACAAACATCGTTTTCTTGGTGGAACTTCATTGAATTCTCAGATTTTTCAAAGACCCAATTTTATTGGTAAACGAATTTGCTTCTCTGAGGGTTTACAAATTCTAAGAAAAAAAAAAAAACTTTGGTTAGTTTTGTAAAACTCAATATTGAACTGAGTAAAGTCAGTAATTTAATCGTATGTTTGGTTTGGACACGATATGCTTAAATTTATCATAAGCGTAACACAAAGTTGTTGTTGCTCTGTGTTCCCTTTGATCGAACTTCTAAATCAATCATCACAGAAGGAATCATTAAATAGGTGCATTCTGTATAGGCAACACGTTTAACGTAAAATAAAGAACTTTGAAGACTAAAGTATATATATATATATAGAGAGAGAGAGAGAGAGAACCAAAGTGTATATATATAGAGAGAGAGGGAGAACTAAAGTAAGTATATATATATATATATACAGAGAGAGAGAGAACTAAAGTATATATATATAGAGAGAGAGAGAACTAAAGTATATGTATATATAGAGAGAGAGAGGGAGAACTAAAGTATATATATATAGAAAGAGAGAGAGCTTTTGTTTGTTTATTTGCTCTAGAGCAAGGACACATTGTGCTATCGCGGCGAATCTAACCTCGGATTTTAGCATTTTAATTCCGTAGACTTAAACTTAAGCGAATATTACAAAAAAAGGTTTAGAAAAATATTCCTAACGGTCCGAACAAATTATTTCATATATTTGCCCTCGCTTCTATGCGGTATCAGCAGCCTTAAAGCGTCATTTCTATTTGGCTCAAAAGTACTTGAATTTTTAATTTTTGTCATACCTTCCAGAACAACGTGACTTTGGAGGCAAATGGCCACTATTACTCATATAAAATCAGACAGTTCGCGTGTTTATAGCTCGTAGATATTTAGACCATTAATAACTTAGTGCTTAGGATCTAAGCACCACCGGCTCCGGAATGACACTGACATTGAAAACCCCCAATGCGCATGTGCAGAGACGTTAAATTGTCGATTTCTATGCTCCTCACTCTAGCCATTTAATTGTTTCCACTTGACCACAATGCTTAGTATTTTGTGCATGTTGATTTATTACGCCAAACTTAAACTAAATGCTAGATTAAGTGACTATATTATTAAGCATACTTTGTACGCCAAACTTAAACTAAATGCTAGATTAAGTGACTATATCATTAAGCATACTTTGTACGCCAAACTTAAACTAAATGCTAGATTAAGTGACTATATTATTAAGCATATTTTGTACGCCAAACTTAAACTAAATGCTGTATTAAGTGACTATATCATTAAGCATACTTTGAAGAGTCAATGTAAGCTTAGAGAATAACAACAAAAAATGCAAAAAATTATATCAGATAATATTCTTCAAATGGTTTATATAACTCTCGTTTTATATATTTTATTAGGATTAAGCGATTTAAGATGATTTAATGAAAGTTCGGTGTTATGTTAAGTATAGTAATGTACAATAGGTATTATTGTTTTTAATATACACTCCTTTTTTTTCCGAACTTTTCCATGAAAGGGAGATTGTCTGTCTTCTCATGTTTGTTTGTTTTTTTCTATTCATAACAAATAAAAGGTTATATAAACAGAAAAATACAGGTCAGTATACCTTCGTTTTTATCACGAAATGAATAACAGCATAGGCGAAACTGTCCATTTCTTACCAGCAGGCGTGGTTAAATAAGGAAATGGGCGTGACCTTCAGGTAAGTTGTGGTCAAAAGGTCCAGAGTTCGAGCTGTAATATGCCGTTGTACACACGTTCTGCACTTTTTTCTATGATATAATATTATGAAGGCTAAGTTACTTTGTTTATGGGATAAATAATTTTTGTTATTACATTATACATTAGCACAATTCCCATGAAAGGGACCTGTAGATTTATGATTGACTAGTACAAAAAACAGTGAATGATTCAACTTTCTTCCTTGAAAAACTCCATATCTTGAAGATGTGAGTAAACTTAATGAAGTGATCTATAACAATTATTCTTGAATACAACACATACTTCTTTTCTCTCCGTTTTCAATGTTCTATATTCTACCATTCTAGCAAGATTAAAAACTTTGTGGATAGAATCAGCTGATTAGTGGTTTTCAACATTTCAAAAAATTAGCAAATTCGAGATAGGTCCTGCTCTGGGTAGTTAGTGTACCGTTGAATCCGAGGGTTGGTGATTCGTGTCCCGTTCCGCGACAATGCGCTCTCTCTGTTTGTTGATCTATATGAGTAGAACAATAGACTGGATCCGTTGAGGAAGACAACAGATATGAACTTTACGTATTATTTCCCATGACAATAATTATTGTGTCCGCCTATTCTCGGTTTCGTGGAAAGTTAAAAAAAAGACAAAATCGACAAAGGTTACAAATAATGATAAGAAATGAGCTAGAGGCTATTGGGCCACAAAAGAAAAATAACAGTATTCAATTTAAAAGGAGCTTAAGCCTTTCTTCAATTTCATCAAATTAATAAAAATGATCATAAACAAGATACGCTCTGGATAGAAATGGTTGAGAAATGTCCCGAATGTTTGATATTTCCCAAATAGCTAGAACTAAGTTATATGTATATAGTCCGCGTAATCTTTTGATAAATTGAGCTATTCTAAGTATATGTCTCGGCAAAAACTCAGGCTGTGTAGATAGAAAACTTTTCCAAAATATTTCACCCGCTTTAGACAGTGCACTAGGCATTGTTAAAAGGTCTAGCTAAATGTAAATTATTAGCTTTAGAGTGTAGTTTTATTATCCAAGTAGAACACTTTAAGTGACAGATGGTGCAAGTGTTCAAGGATTTGATTGTAGAGTCATCCATTACAGAGTGTATATTAGGCCATGTGGTTATGAAGAAATATAAGCCTTTTAAAACCAGAAGATTGGACCGAAAAATAAATAGAACAAATACTTTTTCTTTTATTTAAAGGCTATTTTATTGTTCTTCACGTTACTCTTACTTAAAAAAAAAAGATTCTTTCTTTTAGACCCTACACCTGCCTCACCATACAAAGTAAACAATGGATAACGACAGGTAAATCATTTATGAGGGAGTGTCTAACTACTTCCTGCAATCTGTGTATAAATACAAGAGAATTTACTTCTACAATACTAATGGGAATACAATATATGTAGTACGTGAAGTGTTTGTATACGTACACTGGTTTTGATGTTAGTTCGAAGTTAAGCGGAAACAGACTCGATCACGTAAGATCGCTATTAAACCATTTTGTTTACATAGCAAACCAGAATACGCTATTAAACCATTTTGTTTACAAAGTACACCAGAATATACTATTAAACCATTTTGTTTACATAGCAAACCAGAATATGCTATTAAACCATTTTGTTTACATAGCAAACCAGAATACGCTATTAAACCATTTTGTTTACAAAGTACACCAGAATATGCTATTAATCCATTTTCTTTACATAGCAAACCAGAATACGCTATTAAACCATTTTGTTTACAAAGTACACCAGAATATGCTATTAAACCATTTTCTTTACATAGCAAACCAGAATACGCTATTAAACCATTTTGTTTACAAAGTACACCAGAATATGCTATT